CAGGAAGAGGATTATTGCTGCTCCAAGCATCCTTCCCTAGACTATTGCAGGTCCCGGTAGAGATGACAACTTTTTGGTTACACACTGCTTTGTCTGAGCCAAGAGTTGCTTTTATCACATTTCATTTTCATCTTTCATTGTCCAGGCAAAGGTATGACTACTGAAAAAGGAATGGCCATGTAGCAGAGGTGCCTTTTGAATTTACGTACAGAATTAGCACAGTGCTCTATGCCAGGCAATGACACGACGGAGATCCCAGTACAGTCTCTGAGTATTTACCTGAGGGTGAAAAACTACAGGGTGGTAAGAAAGTGGAGTTTCCTTAAACTCTTACCTTCATTCTATCTTTTAGCAAGTCTGTATTTGAGGAAACCTACATCTCCCAGAATCTATTTTACACACAGAGCAACTTCATATCCCTGCACCCTCAAGATAAATAAATGGCTAAATTGAAATACTGAATATTGTAAGGTCTTGTTCATTCAATTATTTTTTTTCTCCAAGATTACCCTACAGACCTTAATGATTAACTACTTAAATTTTTTCAGAAAACCAATTTCTTAGCTGCTAAGAAGTCGGAGCAAGATCCAGAACGATGGCAAAACACATCTGGTGTTTGTTTCAAAAAAGGAGAGTTGCACAGGCATTTTTGCAGAACAAAACAAAAGCTGTTTTGCTTAAGAAGGAAAGTTGCTGTGCTAGTCTGACACTTTTCTTAACACGTCAGATTAGGTTTCTGTGTATGTACATCACCTTTCCTACAGCTTGGATGGGTTTCCATTTTGAAGCTTGTAGGGTCTGGAAATCTGAATAAATCCCTCAACTACATCTGACTGTACAACAGTTTGGAAACAGCGAGGAAATCTTGACCAAACCCAATTTTAAGATTCCCTTCAGATTTTAAGTACTTGAGCAGCAACTTTCTTTGTTCTCTATTTGCACAGTGTCTAGTTCAGCAAGGTCCTGTCGTGACTAGGGGTCCTAAGTTCTACAGCAATACAAATAATAAATAAAAAATAAGAATACATAATATATGATCAATAATTCCTACTTCATACCCTGTTTTTCAAAGAAACACTGCACCCCAGCAAATACTTGAAAAATATGGTAACAAAGTTACCAAAGTTGCAAGACAAATGCAATTTGTTTGATGCAAATATTTAACCTTTAGGTTCAAGTGGCTGGGAAACCCGTTAATGTTATTGCTTCACCAGCACTGAAACGAAGACCGACCAGAGATGTAACTGGTTCATGCGCAGCCTTGGGAGTCCGGCAGAAACTGGGAGGAAACATTTGTGTAGAAGCCAAGGCAGTGAATCCATGAACAGCTTCTCATCTCCACCATTTTCATGCTAAGAGGGACTATATATGTAAAGAGAACTCCAGAGGGGTTTTTTTGTGTGTTGGCCTTTTCATTTTGAAAAACAAATAAAAGGAAACAGATAAGGTAGACAAATGGTAATGAAACATTTCATATATCCCCTATGGCTATCTCATTTTTCCCAAATGACTGCTGCATGAAATTAAAAAAATTAAAGACTGGGATTTGAGAATAAAATTAAAAAGGAGACATTTAAAAGAGAATTTCCTAAGGGTGTCATTCCTTCCCCACTCTGCAGCAAGGAGAGCAAAAATACAATCCAAAAGAGGAAAGAAGAAGTCAGAGGGGATTAGAAAGTCCAGTCTTTCAGCCTGTCTCCCATTCTGCTAATGTTTACAGTAGGTTATTTAAGAAGCGGTAGATGTTCTGATAGAAAGCAGGCAGCAGCGAACACAGGCATTTTCTCCTCCTTCCAGCGAGGTCTGTGCAATCTCAGTCTCTTGCTCCGGAAAGGAGAGGTTTTCCTTCCCACACTTGTTACTGCCTTCCAGTGTGGGAGAGGGGAGAAGCATCTGCCAGAGACTGGGGTCTGGTGTTTTGGAGGCTCCTCTCCCTCTGCTGGGCTAAAAGGAACTCAAATATTCCAGTGCAACCTCATATACAAATTTATACTGTTCCTGAAAGAGAGAACAGAAATCAGTGGCATTAGGATATGAGTAAATTCTTCAGAGCCACATTCTACAAGCTGCCAAAAATGCCTTCTCCCTCTTTCTTATACCGTTTGGCAGGACCAGGCAAACATTAATTGCATTTTTATGTGATCCTGAACAAGCATTACTGAGAGATGGTATCGTCAATGGAAGAGAAAAACACTCAAAGAGACAGTCATAGTATGGACTATTCATTATTTGCTTCAAGCCCTCATTGCATGCATTGCTTCTGAGGAAAGAATTCAGGGTGATCGATTGAGATGATTGAATTCAGGACAGTTTAATCTCTCTGGCTGCAGGGAGCAAAGCCTGGGGTTGGGGCTGTTCTCTCCTCTTGGTTTCAAGGCATTTCACAGCAGTAAGCACCGGGCTGTATGCATGCACAGCAGGACAAATCCCACCCCATCCCCACAGCCACGGTGACCGCTACTTGGGGTTTCACCTCCCGCATATACTGGGTGGGGTAAGGCATAGGAAAAAAAGCTTACCAGTGACTCCACCATGTTGGATTTGTTATTCCGTAACGTTTTCACTATGTGGAACACATCAATGATATTTTGCTGTTGGATCATTTCGCACACACTGCAAATGGCACAGAAGGTGCCGCTGCGTCCCCCACCATTCCTGGGTTCAGAAGAAGAGAGGCCACAGGTGAAGGTAGGCAAGGCTGAGGAGCCCGAGGAGAACGCTGCTTGTGTAGCAGCTCACACACCACCTAAGAAAGGTCTGTAATGGAAGGACTGGCTAAGGACATTCAAGGCCCATCCCTGGCAGTGGTGGACAGGGAAGCTGCAGGGACAGCAGTGCTGCTCCTTGCTCTGGGGCTCACAGCAGCTCCGTGCACAGAGCTGGACTCATGGCAGTGCTGCTGCGGTTGTGTCTGGGCTCT